CTATTTATATGGGGTTAAGTGTGAGATCTATACGGATCATCGTAGCCTTCAGTATGTCTTTACTCAGAAAGATTTGAACTTAAGACAGAGGAGATGGATGGAGTTACTAAAGGACTACGATATCACTATCTTGTATCATCCGGGGAAGGCGAATGTTGTAGCGGATGCTTTAAGTAGGAAGGCGGGAAGCATGGGAAGTCTAGCTCACTTGCAAGCTTCTAGACGCCCATTGGCTAGAGAGGTTCAGACTCTAGCTAATGACTTGGTGAGATTAGAAGTAAATGAGAAGGGAGGATTGTTGGCTTCTGTGGAGGCAAGATCTTCCTTTCTTGACAAGATTAAGGGAAGACAGTTCGATGATGAGAAACTGCGCAGAATCCAAGATAAGGTATTGCGAGGAGAGGCTAAGGAAGCACAAATCAATGAGGAAGGTGTTTTGAGAATCAAGGGAAGGGTATGTGTACCCCGCGTCGATGGTTTGATCAACACTATTCTGATAGAGGCTCATAGTTCAAGGTATTCTATACATCCGGGCGCAACCAAGATGTATCGTGACCTAAAGCAACACTTTTGGTGGAGTAGAATGAAGCGTGACATTGTGGATTTTATTGCCAAATGTCCAAACTGTCAACAAGTAAAGTATGAACACCAAAGGCCCGGAGGAATACTTCAGAGAATGCCCATTCCGGAATGGAAGTGGGAAAGAATTGCAATGGATTTTGTGGTTGGTCTTCCGAAGACAATGGGTAAGTATGACTCCATTTGGGTGATTGTTGATAGGTTAACTAAATCTGCTCATTTCATTCCGGCCAAGGTGACTTACAATGCAGAAAAGTTAGCCAAACTTTACATCTCGGAAGTGGTGCGATTGCATGGGGTTCCACTATCCATCATATCAGATAGAGGTACGCAGTTTACTTCTAAGTTTTGGAAAACATTGCATGCGGAATTAGGTACTAGGTTGGACCTTAGTACTGCGTTCCACCCTCAGACCGATGGTCAGTCTGAGCGAACGATTCAAGTGTTGGAGGATATACTTCGTGCGTGTGTGATAGAGTTTGGTGGTCATTGGGATAGCTTCCTACCCTTAGCGGAGTTTTCATACGATAATAGCTATCACTCAAGCATTGATATGGCTCCATTCGAAGCATTGTATGGTAGGAGATGTAGGTCTCCCATTGGTTGGTTTGATGCATTTGAGGTTAGGCCTTGGGGTACTGACCTTTTAAGGGATTCGATAGAGAAAGTGAAGTCTATTCAAGAAAAGCTTCTAGCGGCCAAAGTAGACAAAAAGAATATGCAGATCGAAAGGTTAGAGACTTAGAGTTCATGGAGGGTTGAACAAGTCTTGTTGAAAGTTTCACCACTGAAAGGGGTGATGCGGTTTGGTAAAAGGGGTAAACTAAGTCCAAGATACATTGGAACATTTGAAGTACTTAAGCGAGTAGGAGAGGTGGCTTATGAGTTAGCCTTGCCTCCAGGGCTGTCCGGAGTGCATCCGGTATTCCATGTGTCGATGTTGAAAAGATACCATGGGGATGGAAACTACATCATCCGTTGGGATTCAATTTTGCTTGATGAGAACTTTTCTTATGAGGAGGAGCCTGTTGCTATTTTAGATAGAGAAGTTCACAAGTTGAGGTCAAGAGAGATTGCATCCATCAAGGTGCAATGGAAGAATCGACCCGTTGAAGAAGCCACTTGGAAGAAGGAGGCGGATATGCGAGAAAAATAGCCACATCTGTTTACAGATTCAGGTACTCCTTTTCGCCTTTGTTTTCCTTCTTTTGATCGTTCGGGGACGAACGATGAGTAAATTGGTATCTATTTTAACGACCTGTTTAGTCGTTTTGAGCAACATACTTCAATTCTGGAAAAACAGGCAGAAGCGACGGACCCCACGACGGACCGTCAAGGGCACGGCAGACCGTCGCAGGGTCTCGTTTCAAAACACTTAGAGAATCTGAAATTGGGTACTGAAAATCGACTCTCTGAACTTCATGACGGAATGGCAGGACGGACCGTCACAGGCGTGACGGACCGTCACGGAGACTTTAGTGAAAATCCATTCTCTGAACTTTGCTACGACCTGCAGGACGGACCGTCGCAGGCACGACGGTCCGTCACCGGTTGCGCAAATTCCAGGCAGAATCAGATTTCCTTACATGTTTTAAGGGACGTTTTTGGACTATTCTTTTCCTTAATTATAGATTTCGTGGGTTTATATTAATAACTCAAATTCTTGGGGGTTAAAAGAGGTAACCCTAAGTTAATTAGTTGGGTATTATTGCCATCTTTTATTCTTAATTATATACTAATTAGGGTAAAAGAAAGAGGGTTTGAATAAGAAAATAGAAAGAACAAGAAGGGAGAGAGAGAAACGATCGAGAAGAAGAGGAAAACACCAAGCTTTGAGGATTAACTTGCTTGATTTCAATTCTTCGGTGGAGGTAGGTTATGGTTTTCATGCTATTCATAGTAAACTCTTAATAGTGAATGATATGTGTTAGTAGTATTGTAAACCTTCTATATGCTTAATTGTATGCTTGCATGAATGATGTGATTATGTAATTGTGAATAAATAAGCATGATGAAGCTATTGAATCCCAAATCTTGAAAAGAAACCCTAATCTACTTTGTTAATGATGATGCCTTGGTATAAAAGAAGGCTTGATGAACGAAAGTGGTGAGATTAGGGGATCGGGTGCCACGTTCCGGTACCAGGATAGAATATGGATCGGGTACCACGTTCCGGTACCAGGATAGAATATGGATCGGGTGTCACGTTCCGACAGCAGGATAGAATATGGATCGGGTGTCATGTTCCGACAGCAGGATAGAATATGGATCGGGTGTCACGTTCCGACACCAGGATAGAATATGGATCGGGTGCCACGTTCCGGTACACGGATAGTATATGAGGATCGGAGTGTCACGTTCTGACACCAGGATAGAATATGGATCAGGTGCCACGTTCCGGTACCAGGATAGTATATGAGGATCAGGGTGTCACGTTCCGACACTAGGATAGTATATTGAGGAGCGGAGTGTCACGTACCGACACGAGGGGAATAAAGATAATGAATCTTGAAATATGTTAATATATCCAATCTAATGAACTAAATTCCCAAATGAGTATGATGAGGAGGTGTGAATCCTCATTGATGTGCTTGGTGTTGTAACCAAGGGTTATGGTAACTGTAAATGCTGCATGCTAAGGATATTAGTTGATTTTATGATATTGCTTAATACTTAGTGTTTTCTATTTTGAGTTGGCCGATGATATCTACTCAGTACCCGTGTTTTGTACTGACCCCTACTTTTATTGTTTTCTTCTTGTTTATTTGTGGAGTGCAGCAAACATGCCGTCATCTTCGACTCAACAGTAATTCAAGCCAGTCTTACTACATCGGAAATTCAGGGTGAGCTAATGCTTCTAGCTTGGACTGGATCTTCTTCTTCAAGTCTTGATGCCTTGAACTTCTGGCATGGACTAGCTTCTTATGTATTTTTAGCTTTTAGAATACCTCTTAGTTTAGTCATTTGATCATAGATGTTCTTGTGGTGATGACTTCCAGATTTTGGGGATAATAATAGTTATTGATTTTATTAATGAGTTTAAGTCTTCCGCATTACTTTATGTTGATATTATATTGAAATGTTAAGGTTTAGATTGGTTGGTTTGCTCACATAGGAGGGTAAGTGTTGGTGCCAGTCGCGGCCCGGATTTGGGTCGTGACATAAAGGCAGTTAAAAAATTACACAAAAAATAGAAAATATAAAAGAAGAAGACCATAGAATAGAATTAATTATATTTTCCTTAGATAAAGTTAAAATAATCCAAGAAAAATTTGAATTATTATATGACAAAGATCCTTTAAAAGGATGGGGAAAACATAAAACAGAAGTTAAAATTTAACTGATTGATGAAAATAGTATAATAACACAAAAGCCATTAAAATATAATTTTAATAAATTAAATGAATTTAAAGTACATATAAATGAATTACTAAAAATGGGTATATCCAAGAAAGTAATAGTAAACATACAAGCCCGACATTTATTGTTAATAAATATAGTGAACAAAAAAGAGGAAAAAGTAGAATGGTAATTGATTATAGAAATTTAAATGAAAAAACTAAAACATATAATTATCCAACACCAAATAAAATATTAAAGATAAGAAAAATACAAGGATGTAATTACTTTAGTAAATTTGATTGTAAATCAGGATTTTATCAATTGAAATTAGAAGAAGAATCTAAAAAACATACAACATTCACAATTCCACAAGGATTTTACGAATGGAATGTATTACCATTTGGATATAAAAATGCACCAGGCAGATTTTAACATTTTATGGATAACTATTTTAAACAACTAGAAATTGTGTAATATATATTGATGATATATTATTATATTCTAAAACACAAGATGAACACATAAGATTATTAGAAAAATTTATACATATAATACAACACTCAAGAATAAGTTTAAGTAAAAAGAAAGCAGAAATAATGAAAAAAAATAGAATTCCTAGAAATACAAATAGATAAAAATGGAATAAAAATTCAAACGCATATAGTACAAAAGATAATAACCTCAAATGAACAATTAGATACAAAAAAGAAATTACAATCCTTTTTAGGATTAGTTAACCAAGTAAGGGAAAATATACCAAAATTAGCTGAAAACATAAAACTATTACAACAAAAATTAAAGAAAGACGTAGAATACCATATTGATAATAGAGATCAAACACAAATTCAAAATATAAAATTATTATGTAAAACATTATTGAAATTATATTTTCCGGATGAAGATAAAAAATTTATTTATATAGTAGAAATTGATGCAAGTGTAAAGAGTTATGGAGGAGTATTGAAATATAAATATGATAATAGTAATATAGAATATCATTGTAGATATTATTTAGGCACATATACAAATACGGAAATAAAATGGGAAATAAACAGAAAAGAATTATTTTCTGTATATAAATGTTTATTAGCATTTGAGTCATATATTGTATATAACAAATTTATTGTAAGAACAGATAATACACAAGTAAAATGGTGGTTAACAAGAAAAATACAAGATTCAGTATCCTCAAAAGAAATTAGAAGATTGGTATTAAATATATAAAACTTTACATTTACAATTGAAGTAATAAAGACTAACAAGAATGGTGTTGCAGACTACTTATCAAGACAAAGCTACTCAGACTGAGAACAAAATTGAAGATACAATCGAAGAGCTACTCAAAGCCATTACTATACTTTGTACCAAAGTGGACAGAATGGACAATGAAATACAAAAGCTAAAACTAATTAAGATAACCTGAAGTCTAAAGCTAATATAAGTCAGCAGCATGACTATAAAAATGCGGAGCTACGTCGATCGGAAGACGATAAAATTCCAGAGATAAAAGAGACGATGGGAAACTCCCTAAAACCCATAACATTTGTTTAAATACAGCTGCAGGTACAAGCAGGAAAGTTAGTGAGAAATCACGAAAATACAAACTTAAACCAGTTATTTCTAAAACTATTTACCCAAAACACACAAAACATATACCCACAGATTCACAAACTTCCACATACGCAGTTACTATACAGAGTGATAAAAAAGATACAATTATATCACCCAATCATACATTAAAAACATATATAAGATCCAAACATATTTAAATTTAAACCCAAGATCCACACAAACCGAAAATCCAAACGAAGATTATATAACCCAAAAACTACAAGGATATAATAGATTAATTGCACAACCTTAAACTAGTTCAAACTTAGTAAAAGCATGTTACAGTTATGGACTACTAAGTACAGTGTATACATACGACGGAAAGAAATTACTGGAATACCAGAGTTATACAAAGCATTTATCACATACAAAGGAGTTACAAGAGGAAACTTGTTTTATATCAAGTTTTATATAGCACCAGCAGGATATTGTATGAAGTAATTATGTCACCGATTCAAGTTATCAAGATAGGATTAATAAAAGATATGATCATAACAGAAGATATTGGACATCAAAACGAAATACCAAAAATAGAAATACCAAATTTTTATGCCAATAAAAGAATAAGTGGTATATGAACTATTATACAGGAGTTAGCACACAACAATTTAAATGGAAACGGTATATGGAGTTATTACGCTAGAGATCAAATTATGATATATTCAAACTCCACAGACTTAAGAAGAAAAGATATGGATGAAGTCCAGCGATGGATTTTGTCACTATTAAAACAAGAAGAATGAACTACGAAATTTATTTGAGAAGAATTATTAACCAGATATTGCAAACTTATTGGACATAAATATCCAGATCATAGATGATCCAAATGCAATGGAGAAGATAACATAATACCATATGTTCATTTGGAATAAGGACAAGGAGATAAAGATACAAGATAAGATAAGGATGAGGAAAAGAAAAAGAGATATGGCAGACAAAGAAAAAGTGACAAAAGACAAAGAGACATAGATAGAGATAAGATTCCTTTGTACAGTAAATAAGTTTTGCTTTTTTGAAAGGCCAATGTGTATAGCCGGTCATTTGTAAAGTTTTGTTCAAAAGTCGTAAAGTGTACAGTCGACGCACTTATGTGCAGACTTAGGATTTAGTATATATAGATTGCCAAATTGTAAATGAAAGGCAGGCAATGAAACTAAAGTTCAAGTTAATAAACCCTCTCTCAAAATACAAAGCTCTCTCAAAGATACAAACTAAGAAAAACATATGGAAAAATCAAAAATACAATCAGATATCTAAGATAGCATGATAAATCAAGAGGCAAAGGTATATTGTTTATTAGATATGCAGAATTAATTTCATATATTCCTGAATATCATATATATGATTGATTAAATTTATGTTAGTTATTATACACTAGAAATATTTGAATCATGAATTCTAGTTTGCTAGTAAACGGGAAACAGGGAGAAAACTGCTAGACTATGCCATCCCACAGTGGAAACCGGTAGGCGAGGGATGCCGTTAGGGGAATACACAAGGTTGAGGCACTGATAAGCAGTAATTATCCGCTAAAGTACGATGTTAGTAGTGACCGGAAAACATGATAACGATACTCTAGTTTATAATAAACTAATATGGATTTAATTAGATTATGATAAGATAGGAAGGAATAACTGAAGAAAAACCTGCATAATAAAAATAAACATGTTTACAGTGTACGATGAAATAAGAAACTATAAAACTTTGATTTTATATATACTTAAAGATATAGAAATTGATGACATAAAAAGAGTTATATGGGAAAAAATATTTGAATATGATTTAGAGGATATATTGAATCAAGAATGGTATGAAATAAATTTACAAGAATTAGAAATAGAAAGGATAAATATACACGATTTAGAAATAGATTCAGATTAAAATGAACTATGACAATTTAGAATATTGGATAGAAACTATGGAAAATATAAGATTATTAGAACAATTAATACAAGAGAATTTAAATATGTATCAAAGAACCCAAGACATATTATATATAGAATATATAATAAACAACCTTGAAGAAATAATTAGATTAAAACAATTATTAGAAGAAACATATATATCTTAACTTATCTTAACTTATGATGAATTCCGCACCCCCCAAAAATAAATATATATATCTTAACTTATCTTAACTTATGATGAATTCCGCACCCCCAGACCCTTGTTAGTAGTCAAATTTGGAAGTAAATCGATGTGCTTATCGCCTCGATCCAAAAAGACTTTGGCAACATTTCCTTAACATATCTCGGTTGCTTCTCATTCCTTGAAGGCAGGAGTTTTAACATATCTAGGATGAACTAGTCTTGGTGCACTAACAGAAGCAACACATGTACTTATATCTTGCTCAATACATACCATTTATTCTTCATCTGTGTCAATATCTGCTCTTATTTCTTTGTAAATTAGAACATCATCAAATAAAATCTGCAAAACCATGATTTTCTGTGATGATGTTCTAAAAATTGAAGAAATAAGAGCAAAAATTTACTAGCATGAAGAATCAATTGTAGTTATTGAGTCAGAATAAGTGCAAGTACTGATTTTGTTAGTGCACCAAGATTAGTTTATTCTAGATAAACTAAAATTTCCTCCTCTAAGAAACAGAAGCAACTTAGCTCTCTAAAGAAAAAGTTGTCAAAATCTTTTTTGGGCAAAGGCGATAAATACATAGATTTATTAGCAAAATAGAATCCCACCAAGGGTTTCTAATAAATACATAGATTTATGAGCAAAATAAGACCATCAATAACACATCCTAAAGTGTTTGGTTCTTTGTATTATACTCATGTACCAACTTTCAAACAGAGAAAGTTTTTGTTGTTACGTGTTTTAGGATCATCTTTGATTGGGTCATCGATTCAAGTGATTATTAGGAGATTAGTTTTATTTTAGTCATTATGCTATTAACTAGTTATAATTTGTCCTATTTTATAGGCATGTTAGTAGTCTGTTTTATAGCAATCCATGTTATGTGTTAGTTGTATTGCCCCTCTACTTATTTAATAAACTTCAATCAAATACCACACATTGATAATGCTCACCATCACAGATGTTATCGGGATTTTCTTTGTAGTCTGTATTTTGGCACGATGGTGATATGATGGTCTATTCTATTTCAATTTAAATTGGGTCCATGGGTTAGTTTGTGGCTTGATTATCACTCCTGATTTCTAGATCTTCCAAAATTTGAATCGAAAGTTTAGTTCTTACTAATTTATCTTGATGGAATTTTCTTAAAGAGGAATTCACTTAGAGATATGAACACCTGACTGGTAGGTCATAACTTAAGCGTTTAGTATACATCAGTTATCTTCCTTCTTATTCCTTATGTTCGAGGACGAACATGATTTTTAGTGGTGGATAATGAAATGACCCAAAAAGTCATTTTTTTAGAATTTTTTTATAAAGTTAACGTTTTACCCTTATCAATAGTTGCCCCGAGTTTGTGTTTAATTAATCAGCGAAGTTGACTTGGAAATCTTGAACTATTGGTGTAACTTCGTTTATTTAATTGGTGGGTATTATTTTAATAATTAATTTAACTAGTGGTTAATTATCCAAATCCATAATTCAATTACAATCCTATTGTAACTTAACTCAGGTATTGAAATAACCTAAATAGGATTAACATTTAATAAGCTATGGTCAAAAGGGAATACAGCGTAACACAAAATGGCGGCATCTGTTCCCAGGCAATGTTCAATTGATAGATTTATTTATATAGGTACAAGTCTTAATATCTTAATTATGTTGGAGTATTTGTACAGAAAAAGGAAAGAATTGGCGTTAAAAAAGATTAATATGAAATTTATTAGGATTGCACTAACGTTCTATTACTTGAGGAATTGAGAGTTTTGTTGGTTGTTATGGTACATATAGGACTAACAGTGGAGGCAATCATTAGAAAAAGTATATAAATTGATATGTTATGATGGTTTTAGTCTGCCCCTCTCAGAAAATATAACCAATGGCATAGTCTATTGCTTATTTGAGTTGGTGTTTATTTTTACTTTTGCTTACAGTATTGTAAATCATGTTTTAAGATATTAAGATAGGTATTTAAATAGTAGATGTATTCTATTACTTGAAAACCTTTAAAATTATACTACATGGAGAAATTAAGACTTAGCCTTAGCCTTGAAATGTGGAAAATATGAGAGTTGACATGTTAATTGACATGAAGATTGAGAGTTTGATTATAATTCGGGTTAGTTTTAGGTCTAAACTAGATATATGATAATATGAGTGTCGTTAGTTCGAAAGTCTTATTGTAATTACTTATTTGAATAGATTGAATTTATTTGGAGGTTGAATGAAAGGGAAAGACTCACGTCCCAGGAGTGATAGTTCGACTAGCTTGAGACAAGTAAATTTCTAAACTCTTGTTAAGTGTATGTAATGCGTGTATTTCCTCGTGGTTTATGTTTGGGAGTAATGGGAATTGGTAATCGGTTAATTTGTCCACATTTATTAATTCTGATGATGCAAAAAGGGTAATACAATTGTTTTTGTTATGTTTTAGAATGGAGAATGATTTGAAAGACCTGTTGAATCATTGTTGATATTGTATCATGATTGTGATGTTGTGAATCGTGCAATGTTATGAATGGTCATATCCTCTTTATTTGTAGGAACATGTCATTTTCATTATTCTGAGACATGGTTGTGACAAGTGTTATGTGGATCGAGAAAGAATGAGAACTTAAAGAAGATGTGTCCTTTCGAGGGACGTATTACGTGTTGCAATGGATACAATATACTGAGGGACATATCGCAAGCCGCGATGATTACTATTATTGAGGGTTGTGTTGTGCGCCGTGACAGATGCATCAACAGATATGTCCCCCATGGGTACCGGACTAAGATACATCGGGTGTGTATCACTAGGTCAGACATGAATCATTATACTTGACATTGTATTCCATGACATTGCATATACTTATCATTAGTGAACTTGATATTGTGTTTTGATGATCTTGTGAATGGCTTTCTATGGAATTTGTGATTGATGAATACCGAGCTTGCTGTTGAGTTTATATAATTTGTTAAAGTGTTGTTGTTCACGATATGCAATTTATCTAAGTGTTGTTGTTGAGGATATATAATTTTTCTAAGTGTTGTTATTGATCTATGTGCTATGTAAAATGTGAGCCGTTAGGTTGGGATGAGTTTTATGTAGGTTGTAGTTGTGGAGGTTCGGTTGAGGTGGTAGGAGTTCTCGTATTTCATCCCATTAGGTTGTGTATAGAGGTTTACTTGCGGAGTACCGTGTTGTTGGGTATTCAACCATTGCTTCTACAACTTTTTTTAGGTTACCAACTCGGACCTTTGTGATATTCTCTTCTTCCTAGGCTTCTAGGAGATTTGTGAGGTAGCTGTTTGTCATCTTAGCAGACCTTCTTACTCCTATATATGATTTTGTTCTACTATAGATACAATGTCATATGAGGCTTATATTTTCTTTTGATTCAATTGTAATAATTTAGAGGCTTGTACACATGACAACTAGATTTTGGGGTATTTTTGAGTTTATTATAAGATTTTCATATTTTATTGTATTAGTTGAGTTTTAGGCAGACTTGTCTGGGATAAGACGAGTGCCATCACGTTTATTTTTGGATCGTGACACAAATTGAAGTTGAATAAAAGTTATTCTTCATATTTAAATCATCTTGTTGTTCCAGTTTATTAATAACATTGGAAATGAACTTAAGGATTATTCTGATAGGTTTCTTGGGATTGCCAATAGGGTAAGGATACTTGGAAATGAACTTACTTATAATAGAATAGTTTAAAAGATAATTGTAACTTTACCTAATAGATATGAAAAAATTATTGCTTCATTGGAAAATAATAAAGATCTGACAAAGCTTAGCTTGGAAGTTTTATTGACTACACTGCAGGCACAAGAACAACAAAGAATGATGAGGCATGAGGGATCCATTGAGGGAGCCTTGCAAGAAAAGTTGCAGTTTGGTTCAAATGCCAAGGGAAAAAAAGAAAAAGGAATGAAAGGAAATCATTAAAACTACGAAGAGGCCACTACGACAAATGGTGTTGCTGCAACTAAGAATAACAGAGAAGAAAAATATCCTCCCAACCAACACTGTGTGAGGAGAAATCATCCACACTTTATTGGAGAAAATCTGATATGAAATGCATTAAGTTTCACAAGCTTGGTCATGTTGATTATCTACAAAGAGAAGGTATTACAACAACCAAATGATGCACATATTTCAGACAAACAAGAAGAAGAGCAACTATTTCTAGCCAACTGTTTCGCAGTCATAAATTCAAGTGAAAGTTGGCTTATTGAATGTGGTTGTACGAACTACATGATCAGTGATGAAAAGCTTTTCAGAGAACTTGATCGATCAATTAAATCAAGATTAAGAATCAGAAATGTAGAATACCTCCTTGATCAAGGAAAGGGGACTGTAGCTATTGAAAGTTACTAATGTACAAAACTTATATATAAAGTTTTATTTGTTCCTGAAATTGATAAGAGCTTATATTAAGTGTTGGGCAACTCCTAGAAAATTGACTTAAATTATTGTGTGAAGATAAAGTGTGCCTGATCAGTGATTCTAATGGTCAGGAATTTTCTGAATTAAAATTTAGGGAAAAAGTTTTTCCTTGAATCCATTGAACGAGGAACACGTAGCGTTTTCAAGCTAGCTCATTGTAGCACAAACGTGGCACAAAAGGTTGAGGCACATCCATTACAAAGCTTTATTTTTTATGCAAAGGAGAAAAATGGAAAATGGTTTACCTAACTTGGAGGAGAACTCCTCCAGATGTAGAGCTGCATGGTTGGAAATCACACTAGAATTCCATTTAAAACTTCAACTTGGTGAGCTACAGAAAAGTTGCAACTCATTCTCATACCGATCTTTGCAGTCCCACAAAGAACTCCATCACTCAATGGTAGCAAGTATTATATTATATTCATTGATGATCTAACAAGAATGAGTTGGATTTATTTTATGAAGTTTTAGTCCTAAGCTGCTGGAATTTTATTGAAGTTCAAAGCTTGGATAGAAAATCAGATTGGCTGCAAGATTCAGGTCCAATAATATAACTGAATATACCACGGATATGTTTAATTCTTTTTGTGAAGAATCTTGAATTCAGCACAATCTTACCGTCTCTTATTCTCCACAGCAAAATGGAGTGAGTAAGAGATAAAATAAAATAATCATGGAGATGTCGAGATGCTTGTTGGATGAGAAGAATCTGCCAAAGAAGTTTTAAGCTGAAGCAACAAAAAATGATGTTGTATTTTTTATTAGCCGGTTTATGCTGGCAGTGAAGGGAAAGACTCCATTCGAGGCATGGTATGATATCAAACCTGTTTTGAAATATCTCAAGATATTTTAATGTCTATGTTTTTCTTAACTACAAAAAAGGGTCGTTGAGGTTTTTTTTATCGATTTGTGGGAGCTTTTGTTGTGCATCTTGTATTCCTAACATACTTAGAATAAAACTTTGAAGAGCTTTGTAACACAACAAAACTGAAGAGCATTTTCACAACTAGAAAATTAAAAGTAGTAGTAAAACTAGAATCGGAAACATATTAGGAAAAAAATATACGAAATATTTTTCTTAAAGAAGAATTCTTGTTAATATGTGTCTAAAGAAACTTACTGATTCAAACAAATTTTTCAGAAACACAAAGTTTACCAAAGTTTAATGAACCAGTGAAAAACAAAAGAATAGAAGAACTAAAATTAACTTGCAAATCTAAAATTTGTAACACATACATATATCTAAAAAAAACAGAAAGAAGATCAAGCCCACTGAATGCACAATGTCCCCTTAAGGAAATTATTCCCCTCTAGTATCCGAGTGTTGATTTTGAACATGTCCTCCCAAGGTAGAATGATATCTATCACCAGTGTATTGATAACCAAATCGCTGGTGTCAGCGAGCCACTCAACGACAGTATAGTACACGTAGTGAGAAAAGGTTCTTATTGTGCCTTACCGGAAAGCTCACAAACCTTTGGAAAGTCACAATCTTTCAGAAAGGTCGTCACCTTTCATAAAAGTTACAACTTTTCATAAAAGCCGCAACCTTTCATAAAGTCATAACTTTTCATAAAAGTTGCAACCTTTCATAAAAGTCATAACTCTTCATAAAAGTCACAACTCTTCATTTTTCATTCACACCTTTCAAAACCCAACAATCCTAGCATGAATGGGCATGAATCTAAGACAAAGAAATGGGAAGTATGTGTACTTTACAAGCAAGAATTAATTGCATCTGGATAAGTAGGGTTTTCCTTTGATTTTCCGTAGTGAACATATGTCGGATATACTCGGTCATTCGGTAGATGTAATATCTTTGAACAGTCGAGCTTTGGTGTATACTTAGAAAACCATATGTCACACAATTAACCCTTTACCATTTATGATTCTTACGATTGTGTTCGTTTCAGCCATGAACCACTCCTGGTTTTATGAATGTATATAGAGATGAAATTTTGACAATCATCTTCTTTGAAGCGGCTTACACTTCACACTCACATAGGTGATTTCTAACTATGTTATCGCGTAGATACACTATTTGATCAAATCTACCAAACATAGCAAATCATTAAAACCATTAATCTTTATTAACTCATTAACAAACCTTCATGTTGTATCCTTGTCCCTGAGCATTGTATTCATCATGAGAATGGATATAGTTTTTTGAAAATATCGAGCCGTCATTCACAACTTTATTTTTATCCTTGAATCTAGCTCTTGGGATCTCCAGTCTGCTAGATATAGTTACCTCCATGATGACTTTTCCTAAGTCGTAAATTCATTCCCTTAGATGCTCTTTCAACTATCTATCTAGTAAGGACTTTTTTTAAAGTGGAGCCGACACATTATCCTTTGACTTTACGTAGTCAGTTCTGATAATTCCACAAGAGAGAAATTTTTGAACAGAATCATGTCTATGTCATATATGACGAGACTTTACGTTATACATCATGCTCCGTATCCTACATATTGCATCTTGACTATCAAAGTATATGCATACTAATACCAATGGTTTGTGCTAAAAAGGAATATCTATAAAGAAATTTCAGAGTTTTTCAACTTATTTACCGACCTTATCTAGAGCATCTAGCTCATAGATCATTGTAGAGATAGTGACACATGTCTCTTTTGAAATATTTCCAAGAGAGTTCTCCTCAACCAAGAGAAATACATATCCACTCGTGGACTTTACTTCATTTGTCCAATGATCCAATTTGCATCACTATATCCTTTCAATACTGCTGGATATTGTTATAATGCAAGGCATAGTTTTAAGTATTATTTTAAATACTCCAATACTCTATTCATTGCAATATAATAAGTTTATTTGGTATCACTTGTGAATGGACTCAGTTAATAATAGCAAATGCTATATCTAATCGCGCACACTTCATGATATAAATCATACTTCCCAATACTCTAATACAATCTAATTGTGAGTAACTTTTGCTTTTTCACTTTTTTTTTAAATGCAAAGCTCACACTTATTGGAGACGTGACAATATTGACGTCCACATATTTTAACTAGTCAAGTACCTACATGAGACGTGAAAATGCTAAACATTATGGAGTTCTAAGGATTCTTATATCTAACATCTCATGAGCAACTCCAATAATTTCCATTCCAAAATTTCTTTCTAGAATATGTTTAATAGCATTTATGTCATTAGTGTATCTATTGATGATCAACATATCACCAATATACAAAAAAACAATGACCTTATGATTTTAATGTGAACACACTTATCACTTCCATCATTCTTAAATCCATTTGCCAACATGGTTTGGTCAAATATCTTATGTCATTGATTGAGTGCTTGTTTTAGTCCATAATGTGACTTAACAAGTTCTCACACTTTCTTTTATTTACCAGGAATAAAAGAACCCTCGGGTTATTTAATGTAAATTTCTTGCTCGAATTCTACATTTAATAAAGTTCTTTTCACATTCATTTGATGAATTGAGAGGTCATATATCACAACTAATCTGAATGGATGTAATTCTAGTTACTAATGAGTATATATATCAACAAGATCAAAACCTTATTTTTGTCTAAAGCCTTTGATACAAAGTCTTGCTTTATATTTTTTAATAGTTTCATCAATTGTTATTTTCCTTCTGAAGATTTACTTTGAACCCAAAGGTTTATTTTCTGCAAGAAGATCAATTAACTTGCAATATGGTTTCACAAGATTGCATCAATCTCATTATTGTAACCATCTTTCCTAAGGATTAGTCTACAGAAGACACAAGAAATGTTACAAAATCATATTCGAAGGAAGTAAATATCCTTTGACATTTACTACGCCTCTCAATATCTTTATTAAGTACATTATCTTTTTTCCTTTCCTAGGCCTTTTAGACCCTTCTCTAGACTACTCAAGTCTAATTTTACAGTCCACAATCATAGGTTCTATTTTAATTCTTTTAGTAATAGGAACTTGGACTTTTGATAGACACCCCCACACTTTGAAATATTTAAAATTGGATTTCCTTACATTCCATTTCTCATATGGAAAATATTATATCATGAACAAACAAAAGCTCTTTCCTTTTAAAAAGACAACTTTTTGTTGTTCCCTTTTGCAGTAAGAAGAGTTCCTCCATACAAGTTTTACGGTAAACTCGAACTTATGAATAATGCATATATCATTTATTTCAACGTTTAATTTTTATTAGATTTAGGTGAAAAGGGCAGTACTTTGATGGATAATTCCACTTTCCAAACATACTTTTGCATAAGGAGATTTGTACTCTCCATTCTCATCACTTCTTATATTTTTTCAATCTGATTTTCAACTTCAATATTACATTGTCTAAATATATCTATTGTTTCATCCTTACCATTCAACAAATAGATATAGTCATTCCTAATCAATTGTTGATAAAAGTAAAGAGATATATTTCCCACCATGAGATGGTGTTGACTTCATATCACAAATGTCAGTGTAAATAAATTCAAGGAATTATAATTCCTCTGAACAAATTCATATGAACGCTCTGCATACTTATATTCCACACAAACTTAACATATTTATTTATTGCACAAGTGTTCATGTCACAAACATTGACTCAATCAAGTAAGAACAAATAAAAATATTGAGTTTGAAAAGCTATTCGCGGGGTAGGTTTTTACTCACTAATATGTTGTTCCTTTTTCTTAGAATTTTGTGTGATATAAACATTGTTTAGAGTGTCAAATTTCATTTTTCAAAAGGACCTTTTCATAGCTTTCCATTTGATTGTTATAGAACTACCCATGAACCAAGTTTCATCAGGTCTAATAAAGGCAATATAGTCCAAATGTTTCTTTTACAAAAACATAACAACTTACTATTCACCAATATTCATGTCTATGCAAATATTTTTATTTTAATAGACATATCTTTTCATGAAAAATCACAACATTTAAAGTGACATTTTTTAATAAAAAACACAATTATTCTAAACAAGTATATAGATAATTTGATATTTTGATACTAGTCACA